GAGAGAGAGAGAGAGAGAGAGAGAGAGAGCAATACAACTTCCAGAAGTTAGGACACGGAAGAAGCAGCCATTTAAGAAACACTAACCATTTAAAAGATTTTCTTTAAATGCGGCCATTGTGATTGTATGGTATAGGTCAATAGGTGATATGAAACAGTATATATGCTATACGTCAATAGGTGTCAGGTAAAAAAAATATCTAGATAAATAATTTACTTATTTACTTGGCCGCGTTACATATATACTTGTTGTTGGGGGGGGGGGAGTTGTCTGCTGATGTGCCACTGAATTCTCGAATGTTTTAAGTCATATTTCCACATCATTATCATTTTAATCCCGTGGTCATTTTGGACATGTCCCCTTAATTTTACACATATAAAATATAGAAAAAACAGATGTGGAAAAAGCGGAGGTGGATGGCATAACGTATCCCACTAATCCGGGTTCCATTTAAATGATCTTGGATCTTTAAAAAAAGAAAAGAGTGCTAAATACATCGGGTGATGACATCAGAACGCATGAACTCTTGTGGTCCTATAATAGCGCGAATGGTTTGACAGATCAGCTTTTTTATTAAATATAAATGATTAATTTCATTTCAGATGTTCCTTTTGACCAGATAACAATACGTTAGATAATTGTTTCACACGTCAGCTACATTGTCCATTGATTTGCATGCGACCTGCTTGTGAAAATTAACTTTGGAAACATGGACCGCACCACAGTTGTATTGCCTTGCGAAAAAAGTGGGCGATCAAACAACGTCCAAAGCTTTGTGCACAGACCTGACCACACAGAAAATGTCATCAAAGGTCCCGGCAGTGGTCCATATACTCCTAGAAACAAACTGGTCAGACAGCAGCCTCAAGATCATGAGCAGATTGAAGAGAAGCTTTGGCACTCGGACTCTGGACATGGTCCGTGTCTCGCTTTAGGAGAGAGCCAAGATAAAGAGCAAGCATCACGTGCAGTACATAGATCTCTTTCCCTCCCCGCTTCTAAAACGCAAAGTGGTGAAATGCCTGGGAAACTCATCCACTCAGATTCTGGACAAGGTAAATCGTTAGGAGAAAGTCAAGACGAGGACAGCACGAACCCTCTGGTAAGGAGGTCGATTTCCCACCCTGGTCCAAACAACTCATCCAATAAGGCACACAGTGATGGCAAACTCACCCGTTCTGATTCTGGACGAGGTCAGTCTCTCACATTAGAAGAGAGCCAAGAAGGAGAAAACCCATGCTGTCCTGTCAACAGGTCAAATTCTTATTCGGGGAGTGTATCGAATCGTTACCCTGGGGAAGGTTCATCACTGGCGGTAACATCTCCCCACCATTCGTTTAGAAGACACTCATCCAATAGAACTGAAAACATTGATTCTGGAATAGAGAAAGATCCCCCCATTAACAAATCACACTTTCCATTTGGCTCAGAAAATTTATCGCACACAGATCAAGTTTTAAGCGAACAATGTTCAGCAGAAAGTCCACTGATCGTTGATGAAACACCAATGGCCAAGGGAATTCATGACCAAGTGAAACAGAACTTTGAAGGTCGGGTTTGTTCTGGCAGCACTGACCAATGTTGTTTCGACACAAACGGCTGTTTAAGCTTCAGCACTTTCGGGTCATGTGACCTGTCGTTTCACATGAAAGACGACGAGACGAGTATACCAGCAGCTGCTTATTCGCATGTCACATCATACCATCAAAGCGTGCCAAGCCGTCCTATGGTGTCCAGGGGCACCTTTGACCAGGTGTCCAGAGAGCTCTCCAGAACCAGGGATGATAAAGATAGGCTCATTAGAGATATTGAAGCTCTTGAAAAGGTAAATCAGTTGTGTTCTATCTTTGTTCTACACACAAGTTAATGGTATCAAAGAGTAATTGTGTTCTATTTTTGTTCTTCACATAAGTAAATGGTATCAAAGAGTAATTGTGTTCTTTGTTCTTCACACAAGTTAGTTAATGGTATCAAACAGTAATTTTGTTCTATCTTTGTTCTTCACATAAGTTAATGGTATCAAAGAGTAATTTTATTCTCTCTTTGTTCTTCACACGAGTTAATGGTATTAAAATGGTATTGTGTTCTACCCTTGTTCTTCATTTAATTAAATAGTATCAAAGATTAATTGTCTTTATTGATATAAGTATTTTAAAAATCAAAAACTAGTTTTTAATTCTATGAATTTCAGGAGAACAATTTTAGGGCAGCTACTTAACCTCATTTGGTTGTGTTGTATTAATAATAAGTTATTTTATTATTTTTTTAAAATGTGTTTTTCAGACTCTCGAAATCCTAAAACGGGAATTACACGAATCAAAAAGAAAATTTGATTCATTAGTGAGTAAAAATTTATTTTCTATCTATACTTTTCCGTTGAACTTATCCTATACACTAGTGGTATGACGATACAATGCTTCCCTGAGAACTCCTTTGTAAAACTGCATTTGACTTAAATGTCTTCTCATGGTTTTGTATCTGTAATTTTTTTAAACCCAGGGTAGCATTAAATTTGAGACCAGTTTATTTGTAATACATTTTTATTAAGGCTCAGGAAATATGGAATTGGATTTGGAATGGAATGCAACCATTTGGCTTTGTGCTCCAAATCAGATATCTCAACAAGTTCATTTAACCACCTTTTTGTTTGTTTATTTTTTAAAAGTTGTATCCCCCCCAAAAGAATTTTATACCCCACTTTTGAATTTTTTAAAAACAAAACATGTTAATTTTTGAATGGGCGCATCTGTTGTTGCTATTGATTTATGAAATGAACTTTGATCTAGGCCTTTTGAAAATATGATTTTTTAAATTTAAAACAATGCATTATACATTAAAGACAACTGCATAGAACAAATGCTAATCAAATTTTCTGTTAAGTAGAATATTAGGTCAGTCCATTTGCACATTACATTTTTTCTCTTTCATCATTAATCTTTGTTGTAATTATTGAATTAACATTAATTTCCATTTTTTCCAGGTAAAGTCAGAGGATAAACGCAAAAGAGAACTGAGTCAAGAGATTTTTACTTTAAGAACAAAGGTAGACTAAATTTTTTTAGAACATGACATGAAATCTTAAATTGGTTTAGGCGTAATGAACACACAATCAATATTATTGATAAATTAGAATTTCTAATTGAAACCTGCCTTACCAAAGAGCAAAACATGTAGCCTTAAGTTCATCTCTCTTAAAGAAATCATCGGAATGTTGTTGGAACCCTATTTTAAATGAAAGAAACAATAACAGTCATTTTTTGCTGTTAAAACAGTTTTTTTATTAAAATCATCACCGAAATCAAACTTCTTTTCTAAATGCATGGTCTAACAATTATTGAAACTGTAATTTTAAAATATATTTTCCATTATAAATCCCTTTTGATCTCTTAAAGAACATTTTGTAACTAATAACTTAAAAAATAGAGTGTTTCTCTTGGAATTAACAAAATAATGTGTTCCACATTGAATATTTTCTTGTTTATATCAGGGCCTGCATATGCATCACTTAAAAAACTATTGCAAGCATTTTTTAAAAACTAAACCAACAAATCACCCCCCAAAACACTTGATGCAGGCTACTTTATAATTTTCTCTCCATAGCTTCAACAGGAGACTGACACCAGCTATCAACTCAGTATGAAAATTGCAGAGCTGAATAGCTTATTGGATGACAAGAACAAACACATTGAACACATTGAACAAAAAGTATGTCATAAAACATTTTATAACAACAACTTAAAAAACCATACATTTCTTTCCATAATAGTTAACAAAATAATGTACTCACCTGATTCAAGTCTTTGTTTAATATGTGCTATGGTAATTTATGGATAGTTTAACTGTTACAGAAGTGAAAATATTCTTATGATTAGCAAGTAATTACACAAAACATGAATCCCTTGTTAATCTAAATAATACAATATCTAAATTTGAATAGTTTAGGAAAATAACAAAGATATAGAATTGCAGGTCTGTTTGAGTTTAGTAATTAAGACTTTGAAAGTCTAATTGGAAAATGACAATTTTTTGTTTTCTTTCAGAATAATGATTTAAAAATGAGAAATGACTTTTTGGTAAGACATTTTCATTTTTTCCTTTAAAATTTTTTTAAAATTGTGCCATACAAACTGAAATAGGTGATAAAATTGACAAATTTTCCACTAAGTTTTGGGGTTTTGTTTTTAAAAGTGTCTCTTGAAATTTGAAATCATTAGTACAGGAATAAATGTGTTTCTTTGGAGACCTTAACATCAAGCAAAATTAATTCATTTTACACATAATAGACTCAAACAATAAAGCATAACAACAAGTATTGGTTAAGGTTGTAATAATTTTTAAAATATTATCTTTTAATGAATTTTTTTTTTCATCAAATAGGAGGAGAGGCTGGAAGAGTTATGGAAAGTAAGTTAAAATATTTAATATGTGATATGTGATATAGCTGTACTCCTCTAAGATAATATTTATATTAAAAATTAAATGAACTTTAATTGTTAAGGTCTACTGGTGTCATTCATGTCTGCTATAAGAGGGTGATGAGACTTGTAGTGTTAGAAATATGTCAGTTATTTTTTTTTCATAAAGTCTGCTCTGGAATGTTAATTTAACTTCCATGGTTCAAAATGTTTTGTTTTTTTTTTTAATATTTTTAAATATAAACATTAAGAACTCTTTACTGCCTTACCAAAATGGATCAAGTTATGTTTGCACTTACTAGTCTAGCACAAATTGAGTGCAGTGGTTAATACCGTGTGCCCCTTATTCATACCTAGCCCGGAAAGTTTAAAGAAATTTAATTTTCTTTTTCAGAAAGAAGGAGAACGTCAGAATAGGGATGCCCACCGGGTAGATGTAGGTGGTTTTTTGGTTCGATCAACATTTCAAACCGAGTCATCATCTGAGGATGATACCATTCCAAAAGTACCTATTCCAAGTCAAAACTGTGAAAATTTAAATATCCATTTCCGGCAAAAAGAAATGAAGTAGTGCTTTAAAAGTTTTTGTGAAATACAAAACTATAGAACTATTACTGGTATTACTTAAAATTTTTATTTTTTTTTTTGTATGAAAAGGGAAGTAACTTGTCAAATGATTTGTTTTGACATTGGATGCATATTAAATTTGATTAAATAATTTAAATATTTCCAGCTATTCACTGTTATTCAATAATATTTTACTTTTAGTTCATGTATAATCATGGCAAATTTTACAAATAGTGAATAATTATATATGCCTCCACAATTTCCCGACAGTGCAGCAAATGTCATTTGGTTTGGTTTTGTTGCTTAGAAATCAAAACAATCCTTTTGCTTACAGGATTGTAACATCACATTCTAATGAGAAACAAAATTAAACACTTGAATTTACCTAAAAATGTTAAGTTAGTAACGATAAAAGTGTAAATAATTCGTACATTATATAAATCTACCTTTTTCAATTTTTTTTTTTTTTTTTTTTTTTTCAAATATTTAGAAAATTTTTTTTTTTTATTTTTTTTTTTTTTTTTTTTTTTTTTCAAATCATTAGACAATATTTATTTTTAATACGTCTCTCAGTTTAACATAACCCGGTGACAAATGAAATGTGTAAATATTGTGCATATAAACATACTGTAAATATTGTTAAATATAATTTTAAAAATTATGTGATAAGATGTAAGTTATTTATTTTTGTCTATATATATTTTACTCTTGTAATATTTTTTGTAATTTTTACCTTGGTTAGAACTATTGCGATGACTTACACCTCTTATAATCTGAATATTAACTTCTGTATAATATGTATTATAAAAATATTAAGAATTTGACAAAGCACCCCATTATTGTAATATTGTAAATGATATTGTTCTACATCATTACATTCCACATTTGTTATTGACCATTAAGAAAATATTATACACAGAAAATATTTCAAACCAACAAATAGAATAAAAATATATTATTTTAAAAGTAGCAGATAAATTGTTTAGTTTTCTTAAATTTGGCTTAGGCTGTTGTTAGGCACACACAAAAAAATGCAAAGTAACAAACAAATTTGTTTATATCTTAAAGAATATATCAAAGCCGTCCATGAAATACACCAACTCTAGCAATCTAGCGTGAGCTTTTTTCTTCCTCATTTAAAATTTCCAGATTTCTTATTTAAGTTAATAGTCCAATGCTTGTTACCTTGATCTCCCTCTTTCATTGCCATAAACTTGTGAAATTGATGAGTTTTGTATTGTAAGTTCTAAGGGGATTACGTTTTAAACCAAGAAAATATTTGTGCCTCAAAGTCAAACAATTTATAATGTAATATTTTATAAAAGTTTCTTTATCAGTCTTTGTGTAATTTAATTACGTGTTAAAAAGTGCAACTGAAAAAAATGTTAATTTTTAAAATTTATTAAAACTATAAGAAAAAGATCAATTTACTTGTCTTTTCAGGGACTTAAAAATGAAATGCCTGTTAGAATGATATTTTTAAAAAAATTTTGGTTCAACTCACAAGGAGGGCTAAATCCCTCCTATTTGTTAATATTTACATTGTAACTTTCTGTCATAATTTTTTATAGTGAATTGATGTGCAACAATCATAAAAAATATGTGAAGCAATCATAACAAAGATGTGCAGCATTCATATCAACAGTCATTATTATTATATCAACTTGAGATATTTTTCAACTCTGAAAATAATCACTCATTGTTCATTTTCAAATAAAGTCTAATTAAAACACATATTTAAAGTGTTTAAAAAAAATAATTGAAGAAGTCAAATTAAAAAGGGGTTAATTCATTATTGATTTTTGGTTAATTTTTTAAAAATCTGTTCGTCTGTCTAGTTTTAAGTTGAACAAATATGCAAGATGTAGTTTAAAGACTGCAACTATTCGCACCCGGGTACCAGAAGTGAGTGGTTGAGATTAAAAAACTATTTAAAATATTGTTGGGTTTCTAAGACAAAATGAGGTATCAAATGAAAGATAATTAGTCAAAATGGACCCGGACACGCATCACCGCCATTCGCACCTGGATCCCATTAGACCAATGCTATTCGGATGTCATTTGTGGTAGTTGATTTTAGTTAAACTGAAGAAGTAAGTTTACAAACATAAAGTCCATTCAATTATCTTTCATTTTATACCTCATTTTGTTTTACAAAGCCAACAAAAAATTTTAAATAGTTTTTTAATCCCAATCTCTCACTTCTGGTACCCGTGTGCAAATAGCTGCTTCGTAGTTTAAAATTCACCCCCCTCTAAAAAATTGGAATTTGAACAAATTATGCCAAAAGATTAGATACTAACTTATAGAATGCTTGAAGCAAAACTTTAGTGAAATGACGATTTTAGTGAAATGACGGCTTCTCTTGGTTAAAAAATAGCACATGCTTGAATGCATTTGATTTTGTTTAAACACTCTTTTTATATTTTCCATTGAAAACTGAGTACCGGGTATTTCTTTTTATTATTTTTCATCATTCACCAATGTACATGAAGGATTAGTGTTTAAAAAACATATTTGTTTGCTTGTGTTAAATTCAGTGTTGTTTTTTTTTTAAATGTGTTCGCAAGGCAGACAACTCATTACCTGTGAACAATAAAACCTGTTTAAACTCTTTTCAAACGTTGTGTACATATACATCATTCTAGGGGGAATTTGCATAATATGTTTATAAGATAAGTTATTTTTTATATATAAACGTGTACGTATATGTGTATTGATGCTTTTGTTTTGTTTGAGCCTCACAACAATCCTGGAGATGTTTTACTTCGGGCGCTAAATCGATTCAGTGTGTAATTTTTGTGTGTGTGTTTTCACTTTCATCAATGAAAACTTGTTTAAAAATCTTTAACAAGGCCCAATAAGAACTACACTCAGAACTTTTTATTTTTACCTCTACCAATTACAGAAATATTTTAGCTAAAATTTAGCTCCCATTTAAATTCATGTCTATAACAGACCTGTTTACTGTTACGATTTTAGCGTACAATATACAATGTTGAGATGTATACATTATAAATACAGTATGTTTTTTTTTACTATTAATATAATGTATTGAACGATTTTGTGATAATATTGTACGATTTTAAGAGTTTGAAGGTAAACAGGTCTGCTATAATATTGTAGTTGTTATTTCGTAGAAGAACTGCAGAATTCAAAATAATTTAATTATTTAATTAATGAAGTATCCCTACATGTTTTAAAAAAGTTAATTTAATTTTACCTTTCAGTTTTTTCAAATTATTTTTTTTTTGTTTTTGTTTAACAATTAATTTATTTTAAAAAAACATCTAAAACTGAGCAGAAATAATTTAGCACAGATCAAATTGCTGGATGCAACAAATGCCCCTTATTGAATCAGGATGTGTCACACTGTTACATGGAGGGAGCATTTGGAGAATATTTTAAGGCATCAAAAATTAACTTGTAAATTTTTAGTTAAAATATTTAGACTTAAATTTTTTATTCCAATTGATGTAATTTTTGTTTTGAAAATCGTTTGTTCGATTGAGAGGAAAATAACTGTTGTTTGGGTTGTTTTTTGGGGTGGGGGGTGGGAGGGGGTGGGCTGTTCATAGATTATACTGTAATGTGCAATTTATTTTTCATATAAGGGAATAATATGTTATTTTAATGGGTGTGGCTATGGCTATTTTAAGACCTACGTATTCCAATCATCTAGTTTCTCTCACTCTCATTTTTTTTCCCCTTTTAATAGACACTATAGCAGACCTGGTTGCACTGGAACTCACAATAGAGTACAGTATAGTCTCAGAATAGTAGGCCTACTTTAACATATCGTAATCGTCAATAAATAAACGTACAGTATAATTTATACAATAACTATTAGCGTCGCATGACTAATACAGTTCACTTCTCAAAGTAGGTAACCAACGTTTATGTATCTATATACAGTGCATTATTTTAAATAAACATTTGCCCGTCATTTGCCACTTTAAAATACGAAGATGTGTTAGAGAGCGGAAATTGAGGACGACCGAAAATTGAGGACGACCGCCAAAGTCACCCGAACAAAATTGGGGTTTGAGGAGGAGGCCGAGACCCCTGCCCAGAATTTGTTTTAATAAACTCAAAATATAGAGATGCACGTTTGCGTATACCTGAATACTGAATATAGTTTTGCATCATTCTAGACTCAATCATAATGATTGCTAAATATTAGGTTCTTCTTCTTCTTCTTCTATATCTTAAGGGCCCACGATCAATTTATTGATCATTTTGGCTCCTATGCATGTAGATGGGATTTGCAATGTTTCTGTTACTGGTGGTGATGAGGAAATTACCTTACCTAGCTTTGTATACATACATACTTTTCATTTTAGTAGTTCATAAATAGTTATTTTTAATAATTTATTGCTTATTTCTATCTATTTTCAATCTTTCAGTCCCAATTGGTGGGCGGGCGGGTACACCGAAACGGCGCGCACCATCCACAGAGATGATGTATATATCGTTTTATAGCCATTTTAATTGTTTCTATAGTATAGTAGTTACTATCCTAGTGTCTCATTTTTATTTTACTTAGTTTACATGTTTTTAATAATTGTAAAGCGCTTAGAGCTTTAAGGGAAGCGCTATATAAAAATGCCTAAATAAATAAATAAATATATGACATTTAACGTGGCGAGTTACCCACACCTGCAATAAGTCCAGGCGCCTGATTAGGAAGATTGACAACCACACTGCGTCGGCATAGTGTGCTCTAAAACTACCGCCAGTTGTATTGGGAGAAAGTGAAGAGAAGTGATGCAATAAAACTGGGGTATTAAATTTGTACAGCTGCTAAGTGACTTCTAAAAAAAAAGGATTTCAAATGCCACTTTTTAGATCTTAAAAATATGTGACAAATCTAAAGTTGCTGTGCGGAGCAGTTGAGAATGCATTTAAAAAAAAAAAAAAAGGTAGTCTTGAAACAGGCGCATCGTTTCAAGGCCGATGCTAATTTAAAATCATCCATGAAATGTGCACGTCCGTCAATGTAGCAAAATATGAATGCCAGAGTTGGTTAAACAATGGGATATCCTTATAACGAACGCTAAAAAACAACATATTGTCATACGGGATGATACGCCTTCCTGCACCCTGTCAACGGGAGGGACAGTCCATATGTTACGTATGCACTGGGGATGCGTGTGACAGCGTGGCTGAGGGTGTCATCAGAGTGTACTTTCATTTAAGCATAATTTCTACAATGATTATCCTGTCAGTCTCTAACAGAGCCAACTGTCAACTAAAAATCTGTTAAATCCGTGATT